CAGGCAATCTGCATGTGGTACAGGCTATGTTATCTGAGAAAGTTTTACCATCTAGGTGCTCTTCCCATACTTCCTCCATCTCCCTTCAGTGTTGCTGCATGGTGGTTCATATTGTTAGGGGATATAGTATAATTCAGGCCTCGACAAATTTTCTTTGGACCTAGGAATCAGTCCAAAAATTGAGGAGCCCAGAGTCATCCATACCAAATACAGTTTTTTCTCTATCGTAATAAGCAAGTTTAATGTTTCCTGTAAATTATGAATGGGGTGGCCAACTCGCTTGGAGAAAAATGTCTCTTGAATAGAGGATTAATGAGACATTATTTATCAGGTGATACTGATGCATGTTGGTCAGCTGCCAAGAAAATCAGAAATAAGTCAAGCATGTGAACAAGCCCCAAGTCTGAATGGATCTGGGAAGTTATATTAGCAAAGGAGTATTGAAAAACATGTCACCTAACAGCCAAATACCTTTTTGTGACTGCCTTTTAGGAGTCAATGACCTAAATATTGTAACCAGTTGACCTAGATGCAATTTAACAGATGCAATGGTGGCAGAGAAGTAAACATCCTTCACAGCTATCACCACCACCTCATAGGTCTCCAAATAATCTCTGTAGCATGCTGTACCAGGTACAACATGAGAATTCCACCAACAATGCTCTGCTTGTCTTCCCAGTCTCTTTAGCTTCCTCAGACCTGAGAAATATGGGGATGTAACCCTCCTAGAGATGGTGAGAGGACACCGTGAAGCAACTGTGTCAGTAACCTGCTGGAGCCTTTCATTTTAGCCCCTACCAAGGAGTTGCTTCTGGCCAATGTGGTTGTGCTTCTAGTTTCCCCCACTTGTATCATGCCAATATTTGGAAGGATACATCTCTTCATCACAGACGTTTTCCAGAAGACTCTGGTGCAGTGTTTTGCAACTTTCCTCTGAAACCAAGAGTGCTAAAAATATTTCCTCATGTTGGTTTTTTTTTGTTTCTTTAATGGAAACCGAGATTCTCAAGATTAGGCATTTCCCACATTTTACATCTTTTCTTCAGAACTGTGTACTAAAAATATTTCTTCATACTGTTTCTTTTAATGAAAGCTGAGATTCTCAGGATTAAGCATTTTCTACCAGATTTTGTGTCTTGACATAAATATACTTCAACATTTTGACCCCTTTCCTCCTCCCTTGCCCTCCTTATCTGAGTGACAGCAAAGGGAATTCTCTCAAAGCTCTACATGTTTGGTTTTCACTTTATATTGTTTGGGGGGTTGTTTTGGGGTGAAGGACATTTCAGACTTGTTTTTTTGTTAATGCACTAAGTATGCTCATGCTAGTCAATGTCTGACTTCCCTGACCTCCCAAAATAAGTCCATGGGTCCATTCGCATGTACATAGTGTTAAGTGAATTATTTCTATCTTGCATAGAAGGGGACCAGAATACCTCTCTGGTCATGTCGTTTCAAAGTATTTTAAACATGGCGGTTTGACCACATACCAGACATTGACTTGGATCCTGTGGCAAATCTACACTGATGGAAGGGGTTTCTGTCAGCAGGATGGAGTTTACTCCCCTCCTGGTGCGGTGTAAAACGATGCCCCAAATTCTGCTTCTGAAGAACATCGGAACGTAGCACTGTGCTGCAGAAAGGGGAATTGTTGAAAATTGGCCCCTTCTATTAGAGGGAAATTTTCCCACATGATTTAAACCAGCTTAAGGTTGTACAAGGAGAAAGTCGTTTTCAAGTTACATGCATAACTAAAATGCCAGTTCCAGCAGCCCAACTAACTAAATTACATTTTGTATTCTAGGCATGAAAATCCTAGTCCTCATTACCACCACACATTTCCTTTCCCTAATCCTTTGAATTTGTTTCTCATATTTCACTGTGGCAAATTCACATCCTCAGGGCTAAAGATACCTCTTCATATGCATGTTGCTTTAGACTGCCTTGTGTTGAAAATAGTTTGTTTTCTAGTTCTGCTTAGAAAAATAAAACCCTGCTTCACAGGATTGCTGTGAAGATCAAAATGAAGGGGAACCCATGTAGTCCATCCTTGGTCCTTGGGAAAACAGCCTTCTAAAGATGTACAGTGTCTTGGGTAAGGATGAAATTGGCCTTGGAGGGTATATTTGCATCCTCCCAAGCAATTTCCCCCCACACAACCCTCCTCCCATAAGCTGTGAAAAATGAGCCTCCCTCCGAGGTCTCACAAGCTGAATGCCTCCAGTACCACCACCACCACCACCCTTAAGCAACAGGCTGGCTGCTTGCCTTGCTTCAATGGCTGCCAGTGCTGGCTGGTTCAGAGCTTATGGCCTGTTCTTTGATCTCTGTTGCCAGGTTTGGGGGCTTTAAAAAAAACTGTGCATGTATCAAGGTCCTCCTTTACCTACCCTGACTCTTTCCATGGCCCATTTTAGCATGCAGCACATTTGTATGCAGAACACACCTTTACTAATCAGGAAAGTGATACTTACATTTTTGTAAACTAATACTGTAAAAAGGGTTTCCAGCAGCAGCGTGGGGGGGAGAAGTCTCCTTTATTTCCCAGAATTCTAAACATGTGCTCTACATTCAACAGGTGTGGAGAGCACCAACAAGCTCTCAGAGTACCAGACAGAATGTGAAGAGAGCTATATTGAGGATCATTATGTTACATATAAGCATGATGTCAATTTACAAACCCCATTTCAGGTTTAAAACCTAGGAGATATGAAACAGATTAGTAGAACTGAGTAAAACATATATAGAAACAGTGCGTGCTAAAAACAGTTGGCAAACTCCCATTGTTGCTACATAATTTAGATTTGCAGAGATCTTGCCTAGTTCTTCCCATTTTCCCTGTCTCCAGAGGTTTGGTGAAGACCACAGTACAGTTTGTTGATCACATCTGTTAACAGTCACTTCAGAACAATTCTCATGGGGTTACACTTTCTCAGTAAGCTTGCGTCTTTCCCAATTACTTATTTACTGTAGAGTGCTGGGCTGTTCCCAGTATTCAAATGCATGTCCCCAAGGCCTCAGTGGCTGGTAAATTGATATACACAAGCTGTATTTGTTGCAACTTGAGAGTTGTCATTGTGTTCTTCCTTTTGTACAGTTTTCATACCGAAAATGAAATGATGACTGGATTCTTTTCCAGCTACCAACATAAATCGCTTTGTCTTTTGTGTCTTTTTTTGTCCAATTAAGCCTGGATTTCAAGTGCTTTTATTGAATTGAAATCAGGCTGATATTATTAAAATGCTGTTAGAATGTTGTGTAACATATGGTGCATTGTAAAAATATTTCATAGTGTCCATGTTTAAGTTTTGGGGTGCAAGTATGTATGGGGTTGAAGACAGAGATTACAACCAATGGAAACATTTGCTTTGATCCCATGGAGTATTTCAGTGGACAGAGGAGGGAACAATTTTCTCTGATTCCCCACTTCCTCATGCTGCTCCTGGGAGGGGTCTCTTTCACCTTATCATAATAGTTTTTAAACACTTTCCTTGCATACCATCTTTTGCTCTGTCAATTTCTGGTAGTGACAGATTTCCCTCAGAGTCATGGTCCCCACACAATAGAGATTTGGGCTTCTTCAGACCTCCAGTGGCAGGAGATCGCTTAAAGGGGGCTTTTATGGCCAGTTGTTTGCAGGACACCTTCCCACCAGTAAGCTTGCAAGTCATTTGCTTCATTCAGGCCATCTTTCTACACTTAGTACACGCTATTGGACAAGGACTGTATTTACCTGTAACACATTTGTTGTAGACTTGACATTGTTGCACATATGCACTAGAACATGGGGTTTAGAGTTTTCAGCATGAGTGCAAATGTGGAATAGCTTTGAAATCTGCATGGAAATACTACTAAAAAGGACCAGGCTGCTCTTTAAAAAAAGCATATCCTGGTTTTGAGAAAATGACATTCTCTGGAGAGAGAGAGAAAAAGAAATTCTGAAATGCTAATACCATGTGGTTTTTATTTGATTTCCATTCTGTCCCAAGAGCTCAGGCCCCTTTATTAAACTCTTTGTATTCACAGCAACCCTGAGAGGTGAGTTGAGTAGAGAAGCTATGATAAGTGAAAGTATACTGAGTATCTTTGCTAGTTTTGTATCCTGTCCTTCCTCAGAGCAGCAGCATATTAATGTTGCATATTAACCTGGTTAAAGAGAATGATTTTGATATGGACACTTAGGCTGCAGTTCTATGCACACCCCATTGAACACTTTTATTTCTGAGGATATATGTATAGCGGTGCACTATTAGTGAGCTTTGTGGGTAAGTGAGGATTGGGATCTATTTATTTGATATATATCCACCATCCCCGCATAGCAGGCTCAGGGAAGGTTCCATCATACCAAGGATCAATGCAAATAACAGTTCAAACCAATTAAAATACTTCAAAATTAAAATACAACTTATACATTCTGGTACTCCAGAACAGATGAGGTCTATCACAAGTTGGGGTTCCAAATGGTTATTCATATCTGGGTTACTGGAAGGGAGGCCCAATAAGGTATGGATGCCTGCCACCTCAGCTAAAACCTAGTGGAAGAGCTCCGTCTTACAGGCCCTGCAGAACTTTAAAAGGTCCCACGGGGCCCTGATCTCATATGGGAGCTTGTTCCACCAGGTAGGGGGCAGGGCCAAGAATAGGGTTGCCAAATCGGGCCGGGGGGCGGGGAACCCCCCACTTCCGCGGCCCGATTTCCGCCGCAGGAGAATTCCGGCCCGGGGGGGAACCCCGCCCCCCAAGTTCCCCTCCGACGAGCTCAGCCACGCCCCCAACGTCAGCACGTCGCCCGTCACTTTAATAATTATTTAGCACCAACTGTGTTAATTATTGCTTTAGTATTGTAATACATTTAAAATAAAAAAACTGTGTTGCTGTAGGCCATGGATTTTCTTCTGCCTGGTTAAAAGAAATGTGGTGTGTGAATGAAGCTAAGTGAGATCATTGCAAAACATAACTGGTAGAATTAGCCTGCTTTGTTCTTCTTTTTAACTGCCCAGCTGCCACATTCATGGAGCACTGGAAGAGAAAACAGATGCGACTGAACTACAGATGGGATTTGACTGGGTTTGAAGAAGAGGAAGTAAGTTCATTTTTTCATATACTATTTCATTGGTTACTGGGTTTATAGATACCTTACAAATGGTGTTTAATTTATAGTATTAACCCTCTGGAGAGGAAAATCCTGCACATATATGGTTTCAGTGTTTGGAAAGGGTGTGTTCATAGGACATCTTGTTACCATGGAAGCATAATGTCAGAGCTTCAAATGAAGGCCACACCTAGTAGCCCTTAAAACATATATAGTTCAAAAAGGATTCCCTTGATGTGAGAGGCATATTAAGTGAGATTGTAAAAACTGTGCCTTGAGGTTAATTCTTCCATGTATGAGATGTTGGCAGGCCTGAATATTGTGCTTGTGGCATTTGTCCATACTCTCTTCAATATAGCGTATATCCAGCATGTTTCAGGACAGTGGCTAAAGGTGAAAGAGCTCCAGCCACCAAAACATGCAACATATTGGCACATTTGAGAAACAGAGAGTTCCAAGGAAATAGGTTATCATTCAACGCCTGCCTCTCTTAACAGTGTCTGTACAGCAACACTTAGGTCACTTTTTCTTCTGTGATAGGCCCAGTCCTTTGCACTGCACTCTGGTTGCCAAGTTCAGCTTGGGAAATTCCTAGAGATTTGGAGGTGGTTTTTTAGAGAGAGTGGATTCTGAAGAGTATAGGGAGCTCAGCAGACATGCGATTCCATAGAAGCTGCCCTTTCCTCCAGGAGAACTGAGATGTCTAGCTTGTAGATCAGTTGTAATTCTGGGAGAACTCCAGGTAGGGTTGCCAGACCCAGCCATCACCAATGTCATTTTTCTTTTCTTCCACTGGTCACTGGAGTGCCAGAGGGCAATGCCCACTGGAGGTGAGAGATCTCTCACCCCCAGTGTGTGTAAAGCAACCCTAACTCCAGGTGCTTCCTAGAAGCAGTGGGGTAAACCTCAGTGGGTGTCTTCTTTTGCTGCATTTTGGAAGGTATGGACAACTGTTTTATTTCAGAGAGCATTTGGCAGAGAGGGTAAACTGTTTTGGCTGATTTTGGCCACATTTTTAATCTGTGGGGTTTTTTTTAATAAACCTATGTGCTATTTGTTCCCAGCACTGCTTTAAAAGTGTGATGAGATTGATATCAAGCAGCTATTTATTTTTAGTAATGAACTTCCATTACTAAAATCATTTATGACTTAACTTTAGTGCAGGGTTCTCAACCTTTTTGAGCCTGGGGGCACCTTTGGAATTCTGACACAGGGTGGTGGGTACAAGCATGAAATGGCTGCAGCAGAAGGCAGAGCCAACCACAAAATGTCCAGGAACAAGGTCATACATAATAGAAACTTTTCAGCGTTTCAGTCAGAAGCTCTGTTTTGCAGGGTGCCATTTAAAATGAACGTATTGTTTTAAAAATATTTTCTTGCATACACACAGCTTATGTTAAGACATGCTGTAAAGATCCTTGTGCTGCTGGAGCAGCTTTTTAAAAATCTGCCAATCAGATCTCCAACGGCCAATCAGAAGCTTCACTAGGCAAAAGCCCCATCTAGCTTCACCCACTTTCTAAGAAAACTTGCCAGGTGCCAAGGCTGTCAGTGGGCCCCAGTACATATATTGGTACCATGTTGGGAACCCCTGCTTTAGCGAGTTACTAATTTATTTAAAAGATTTCTGTGCTGGCATTTGATATGGCTTTCAAAATATAGCTAAAATAAAATAAATCTGTAAAACCAACAACAATAGAAATTATGACCACAGGGGAAAAGCAGATCATTGTCCATTGCCAGAAGCCCCGGAAAATACAAGTGCCTTAACTTGGTGCCTAGTCAGAAGAAGGCAGCACAAGTTTAAAAGAATCAGATAGGGAATTCCATAGGTATGCTGCCACAACAGAAAATGTACAGTCTCTAGTGCTGTGGTGGCGAACCAGAAGTGCCAGAGGTGGCACTCAGAGTCCTCTCTGTGGGCACGTGCGCTGTCGCCCCAGCTGCCCGGGTGGCCCCCAATTGGGCAGTTTGAATGGATGGCGGGGGCCACGCAAGGCAGACATTGAGTCAGCAGGGGAAGAGAAGCCAGCTGCGCCCCATGACTCTCCTTCTCCTCCAAGGCAGCTCACCTTGATGAGCAGCACCAGCAGCAGCCTGCAGGAGGGAGTGCCTGCCCGAGTGAGTGCGCCTCTCTGCGTTCTGAGCCCTGCCTAGCAGGCATCTTGCCTCCTCCAAGCCTGCAAGCAAGTGTCCCTCTCCTCCTCCTCCATCCCGTCCTCCATCAGCGTTGTTGTATTCATCCCTGGGAGGGGGCTGGCCAGCCCAGCTTCTGCCGCCTTCCCACTGCCGCTCCCCTCCCTCCGTCCAGCATGCAGGACTCGATGTCAGGGGGCGAGAGCAGCTCCTCAGGGTGGGTGGGTGAAGACACAGGCATTGGCGTCATTATGGGAGTTGCAGGAGGTCTTCGGGCTTGGAGGGGGGTCGGGGGGGGCTTGCCATCGCCTCGGGTCTGCTGCTTGTTCCTGACTGCTGGCACGACCAGGTGGGCACCTGTTCTGATTCTTTCTCCTGGTTTTTCTGCCGGGGAAGGGGTGCCTTGGCGGGGGGAGGCAGGCTGATGGCATCCTGATGGGGGCTGCTGTCTGCCCTTGGCTGGGTTTGTACTAAAAGGAAGGACAGGATTGCCCATTGGACAATCCTGTACATTACAGTACAAGTAGAGTTGCAATAAAAACGTGGAATGGATTTTCCATTAGAGTCTCTGGGCCCAAATAGACTACTCTGGGAATTGAATGAGAGACCACGGAGTGGAATGAGATGGAGCTGATCTGGTGATAGCTATACACATTCCAGTAATATTTAAATGTAAAGTATTTCACTCTACAGTTTGCAGATCCAGTTGCACAGAACTTTCTCTATACACAGGGTCTCTCCTTCTACTCTGGGGCCTGTTATTCCAGGCCCATAAGCCTCCTGCTACTTCCAGGGACTGTCAATCCACCTTGGAGCCTGTTATTCCATTCCCAGAATACTCCCAGGAGCTGTCATTCCACTTAGTGGCATCCCATTCCAGTTCCAGAACACTCCTGACATATCTAGGGTCTGTCATTCGGGCTTGTCATTGCGGTCCCAGAATATCCCTGCTACTTGCAGTGACTATAATTCCACTTAGTGATCTCCCATTCCAGTTCCAGAACACTCCTACCACTCCCTAGGGCAGTCATTCCAGTCCAAGACCACTCCTGAAACTTCCAGGGGCTGTCATTCCACTCTG